GGCTGGGCGTGCGCGGGGCCGCGGCGGAGGCAGGGCCGGGCGGGCGGCAGAAGATGGCGAGGGTGTGTAGGCGGCAGCAATGCTCCGTTGAGAGACGCGGCTTTCGGCAAGAACTGGACTCGTGGCGCCACAAGCTCATTCACTGTGTAGGTGAGACCCTCCCCCGGCCGCTTCCGGCCCTTGGGCCGCCCCGCCACCGGCTGCCCCGGACAAGGGAGGGAGCCGGGGCAGAGGCAATTGCTGCTCCGGCCCGCCCGCCCTCTTTGGCTCGGGCGTCCCCCTCCCCCCACCCCCCGGAGTGCGGGCGCGCGCGACCTCCGGGCGGGCTCTCCCCGGCTCGGGCCTGAGCACGCGCGTCGGCCCCTCCCCTCCGCGCGCCTTCCCCGGGGCGGGCTCTCGGGCGGGAGCGCGTGCCCCTTCCCTGCCCCGCTTACCCCCCCTTCCGGCCCGGTCGCCCGGCCGCCCGGCGCCGCCGCCGGCTTATTGTGGAGACTCGGCCCGCGGCGCTGCCACTTGACCGGGGGCGTCGCCTCCGGTTCCGCGGAGCCGGGCACGGGGGTGGGAGGCGTGTTCAGCCCCTTCCTCCGCTCTGCCCCTTCCTCCGCTCTGCCCGGCGCCTTCCCCCATCCTGCGCTTCCCCTCCCCCACGCGCGGCGGCGCGCGCCCCAGTCCCCGCGTGCACGCGCGGCGGCGGGCGGGCGGGCGCCCGGCTCTCGGGCGTGTGCGAGGCGTGAGGTGGAGATGGGGGCGGAGGGAGCCGGAGCTGTCACAGGCCCCGGGTCCGCCTGACCGAGCCAAGTAGGGTGTCATGGCCGCGGGGGGCAGCGGCTGCACTTCCTCTGCGGGCGGCGGCGGCGGCCGGGGAGTTAATCCTCGACGCTCGGGTCGGTGTGTGTGTATTTGTGTTCGGTGTGTGCGCGGCGGGGAGGAAAGGGGGTGGAACTGGGTCCGACCGAGAAGCCGGAGCGGGGGTCGCTCTTGTCCCCTCCCCGGGTATTTGCCGGAGCCGTGGCCTCGCCGAGAGCTTCGCCCCCCCAACCCCCAGCCTCTCGGGCCTCGGGTGGCTTTTTCCCCCACGGGCAGGAGGGAGTGTGCACGGGGGCGCCCCAGGAGGGGCCGGGCGGCCGAGCTGCGCCTCTCACACTGTGTGTTTTGTCTGTTTTTCTCTCCCAAGGTCCCGTTTCCCTCTGTGCGGCGGCCGGCGGGACTATAAGGGCTTAACTCATATATTTAACCCCCCTCCAAAAAGTAAGTGGCCCGTGTGGTGTCTCCGCTCCGCCCGCCGCCCCCTAGCCCCAGTCCATCCTTGTGTCTGACTCTCCTGTCCTCCAGCATTGTTATTTCCCCATCTTTGCTTCGGTGCTGCTGCTGTGTGGGGAAATGCTTTCTCGTGCTCCTCCGTCCCCCAGACCCAGTCTTCGGGGAGGCGCAGAATTCCAGCCCTTTCTCCCCCTCTCCCCCCGTGGGGAATATTCTTGGGAACCAGGTCTTCCCCAGCAGAATCTAGGAGATTGTATCCGTACGCTTGGGCCCCTCATCCCCTCCTTCCCGACAGGGTTTCGTTGGAAGGAATTATGCAAATCCTGCTTTCTGGTGTCCATTCAGCGGCAATTTCATGCGGTGAGAAGTTCTCTTTGTTGTGCGAGGGGGAGAACAGACACTGATTTAATAGACATATCTGTTGGGGGGAAGGGTGGAGGGGGTGTGGAGAGGCTCAGTTTGGAAGAATTACAGCACTTGGTTAGCTCAGTGTCTTTGTGTTTGAGCTTTCTGGCTTGACAGGAGGGTATGCCCTTTACAATGTCCCACAAGAGATGTCTTCTGTAATAGATTAAAAAGCAGAACAGAAACTTTAAATAAGTGAAACATAAGGTAACCTTTACGTAGAGAATATAAGCCTTTGCATTTCTGCAGTGTTTCATTATGAAGATATATGTGAATTTTGTTAAGGATTTAGACTGTAACATCAAAATTAATTAAAACAGGCAACAATGCTTTAAGGTGTCTGATTATCACTTTGGTTGTCCACAGGTTAAAGAACATTTTAAAAACATACTTGTGTAAGTAATAAAGGCACGAATCAATTTTTTGGTGTAAGTTGACTTGTGGGTAAATTTTAAAATTTCCCTCCTGCCAATCCAAGCCCAGCTCTGCCCTCCAGAAAGCCTTTTGGCTATCAGTTACCATTTACTCTGTCTCTGTATTTTTTTCAGATCTATCCTACATTTGCTAAAATGTTATATCAGATTAAGCTCTTTTTGAATTATTTGTAACCATCATATGAAAGAGTTTATGAAGGCATGCAGGTTTTGAGAAGTGTGAAATTAATAAGTTTTCAGAATTATGAATATAAAAATCCTGAAATTATTTTGAAGAATTTTTAGTTCTTGTATTTCACTTTTTTCGAGATTGGTTTTTTTTGGTAGGGCTTTTTAGTTTTTAAAAGGTTTTGAAATTGACTATAACCCAGTAGCTTTCATAAGTTACTGTTACTTTAGATGGTTTTAATGAGTTGTTTATCTTATTCTAATTCTGTTTGCTTTGAATCCTTGCCTTCTGCCTCAGGCCCCCTTTTTATCAGTCATTGCTAGTATTAGTGGTTACTTATTGCTGCTTGACAAGGTTGTGGGTTTTTTTTTTATTTTTTCCTTTTCCCTTAATGACTAACAAAATTCTGTAAATAACTGAATTGAATATCAAATTTTGATTCGTTTTTTTGAGGGGGGATTTTAATCTGGTCATCAGTTTCCTTAAAGCATACTTTTAACTCCAAATTTCCACTTTGAAGGTAGTAAAGTTCAGGAGATATTTAAAGTCCAGAGTGCAGAGCAGTAATTCATAGTTGATAGTCTCACAGCTAAAATCAATTGGGTTTCGTATTTTCTCTTTTGTTATATGTAATTTCTTTTAAGAGGAGAGTTCTAAGTAAATTAATAGTAGTGTTAACTTTCTATACTTAAAAAGGCTAGCAGTGATTGATGCTCATATAATGCAAAAGGCAACTATGTTGTCACTAGCAAACGTAATAATTCCTCGTTTATTTTAATGAGATTGGTTCTGAACAGTTAACCTTCTATTTCATTCTGTTGACTGATTATTTTAGTACTTTAGGGTCATTTGGTTTCTAAATGATACTTAATTTATACCAGTCTTGGATTAAAAATGAATTCTCATTTATTTCCAAAATCTAATTCTCCTGTTTGGGGGGACTGTGTGGTGGGGTACATCAGGATTGTGGAGGTGTTTGTGTTTCCATTATTACGTTTAGTTGAATTGGAGTCAGTAGCAGTTTCAGACAGTGATTATGATCAAGATGGATATTTGGTACCCAGGTGATTATTGAGGTGGCCTCTGGGACTATGGCAGTCCATATTCCAGGAAGGTCGAAGTTCTCTCTGCTGCTTGGTGTGATGTAACCTATTGCTTGGCTGCTCCTCATCCTTGCTGTATTCTCAAAAAGCTCTTCCCAATGTAGGGAAAGTTGTGTTGATTTCAGCTTACTCAACTTGGTTGAAAAAGGAGAGCATAGTAAGTCTTTTTGACTTAGAGTTATTTCAAATTGCCCTGATTCCCTCAGATGTGCTTGTAGATGGAGCAGTTCTAGGAAGCATCTGAATGACCTTTTTTTTTTTTTTAAGATTTTATTTATTTATTTGAGAGAGAGAGAATGAGAGAGAGCACATGAGACGGGTTAGAGTCAGAGGGAGAAGCAGACTCCCTGCCGAGCAGGGAGCCTGATGCGGGACTCGATCCAGGTACTCCAGGATCGTGACCTGAGCTGAAGGCAGTCGCTTGGCTGAGCCACCCAGGTGCCCACCTTTTTTTTTTTTTTAAATTTTAGCCTTATGGGCTATACTGGATGGCCTGTAATTTCTTTCAGTGAGAATTAGATGTTCAGTGTCTGGAGACGTGCCACTTCTGAGCACCCACCTAATTATTTAGCTGCTTGTATTAGTGTTGTTTTTAGAAATGAAAGGCAGTTAGGTAAGTACTTCATTTAAATTTGAACCTGGCACTGTGGGCAGACGAAAGGGGAGGCTACCCTAACCTTAAGGAACTTTTAGTACTTAGAGAAGATATAGTGTATTCAATAATAGAAGATATAGTGTATTCAATAATAGTACAAGGCAAAAGGTGCCATACCATGGTGCAAGCGAGTGCTAGGGGTATTTAGAAGTGAAAGAAATTTCTTGAAATGATGTAGGAAGGCTTCATGAAGAAGGTGGCAGATTTTTGCTTCATTTTGATGAATACGGAAGAGGCATTTCTGTCGTGAGAAACAAGCAAAAGTGGCAAAGGACAAGAATGGGTTGAAACTGTTTAAGTCTGTTTAAACTGCAAACCATGATTCATGTAGGGGATGTATAGATGATAGGTTTGCAAAGATAGGTTGTAGGATTTTCTAATGCAGGTTAAAAAGTGGGGTCTCTTTGTTAGCCACCTTGGGGTTTACAGTGCAGTTCTCTCCTTAGCCTAGGGGAGGAATGTTTCCTTTATTTGACAATTTCATTGCGGAACTCAACAATGACACATAATTGTTTTTTAAATCATCTTGACAGGAATGATGCTGTTATCCAAAACAGTGTCTCTTTTAAGTAAACTCATTGGAGGCTATACTATATTCCATTGCACAAAACCTATTTTTGGAATGGCCTAAAATCAGTGGCATATGTATTCTTTGAACACCCTTAGTATTGACAAATTTTCATCCTTAGAGGTCACATTTGGTATTTGGAAACAGTTGAAAAATATCTTTGTGGCACATAAAAGTATGTGTTAAATAATGAGATTGGTTTTCATTATTTATTATTTTCATTATTTCCTGGTTTGCAAACTGGCTGTGAAGCTCAGCAGAGGGGTTTGATTTGTTTTGATATGCCTCAGAACTTCTCTCTTCTTACTTCCTTTATGTCTACCCATCTGCTGTATGGAATCTGGATATTCGGTAGATGTGAATAAACAAAGCTGTTGTTTTTGTAGTTTCAGGTTAAAAACTTACCGTCACTACCCTCCACATTATCTACTCTGTTTGCGAATATTTAAAAAATTCTTTTACTACTCCTTACAGTTGCACATTGTTTTGGGGATAATTCCAGTGTGAACTATTAGCTCATTTTATTGTCTCTTGTATGCAGGAAGTATCCCAAGTACAGTGGTCCTTACCCTGAATTTTTTCTTTTTTCAATTGAAATACAATTTACATACCATAAAATTCACGCTTTTAAAATACACAATTCAGTAATTTTAGTTTATTTGCTACATTGTTCAAACATCACTGTGTAATTCCAGAACACTTTCATTACCTGAAAAAGAAACCCCAAACCCATTAGCAGTCATTTCCCATTCCATCTGCGACCCAGCCATTGGCATCCCCAGTCTTTCTGTTTCTGTGGATTTGTCAATCTTGGGTATTTCGTATAAATGTAATCGTACAATATATGGTCTTTTGTGTCTGCCTTCTTAGCATGTTTTCAAGATTCATCCATGTTGTAGCATTTAGTGTTTTCTGTGGCTAAATAATACTGCATTGTATAAGCATACTATGTTTTGTTTATCCATCAGTTGTTGGGCATTTGGACTGTTTCCCCTTTTTGCCTGTTGTGAATTATGTTGCTATGAACATTTGTTTCCACTTTTCTTGGGTATGTAGGTAAGAGTGAGATTGCTGGGTCACATGATAACTTTTTTAACTTTTTGAAGAACTGCCAAACTGTTTTCCAAAGCAGATGCAGTATTTTATATTCCCACCAGCAGTGTATGAGGATTCCATTTTCTCTACCCCCCTGCTAATAACACTTGTTATTGTCTGTCTTTTTGATTATAGTTATTTTAGTGGGTAGGTCTGAAGTGGTATCTCATTGTGGGTTTTTATTTGCATTTCCCTAATGACCCCGGTGATGTTGAGCATTCTTTCACATGCTTATTGGCCATTTGTGTATCTTCTTTGGAGAAATTTGTATTCAGATCCCTAACTCATTTTAAAATTGAGTTATTTGTCTTTTTATTGTTGAGATGTAAGAGTATATTCTGGTTACTAGACCCACATTAGTGTATGATTTGCAAATTTTTTTATCATACTCTCAATTTAAAAATAATTACAGATCAGAAGGAAACTTACTTTGTAAAGGGAATAATTTATATAGTAGTGGATTGATAGGAGAGAACTAGAATAACTGGAAAGGCTTGCTTTAATATCTTTTATATGAATTATTAAAATTGTGGTTTTTAAAAATACTGTATTTATTTTA